CGAATTCGATTGAAAAATGTACGTCCGCCGATTCCTCGTTGTTGACAATGACAAGTGCTTGTATACCTTTTGATCAGCAACATCTACTGGCAATGCGAAGTATCAACGTACACAAGGGTTAAATTCGATGATCATCACCTTTCTCTAGATAAAATAAAGATTTTTCATTTAGTATTGTTAAGTTATTTCCTGTAGACAGACACTAACTATGGAGCGCTCAAAATATCATTTTCGGCAATCACTACTTTTGTTGTTTGATTTGAAGAAATTTGCTGGCAAAGCCTATCAAACACTTTCAAAAACTTATAGTGATATTGCTCCATCATATCGCAATTGCCGATCTTGGTTCCAAAAAAAAAAAATGGTGCTTTTGATGCCAATTACAAAGAACAGGCTGGAGGATCAAAAGAGGTCGAAATCAATAAATTACAAGATTTATTCGACGAAAATCCAGCTGAAATTCTCAAAGAGCTTTCTAGCAGCTTACCAGTTGATGAATCAGTTGCTTCTGGATGTTTACAAGTAATAAGAAAGATCCAAAAAGAGAAAAAATTGCTGCCACACGAATTGATTGAAAATGCCTTTCCGAACCGTTTCAACATCGCAATTTCATTGCTTGGCGGGTAGAAAAAGAAAAGTTTTCTGCAGCGTATTGTGACTGGAGGCGAAAGTGGAAAACTGACATTCCCAAACGCAAGAAGAAATTGATTAATCCAGAAGAGCCATCCACGTCAACACTAAAGCCATAAGTTTTCCTGTGCATATGGCGGGATCAGTAATGTGTGGTTTGCTACGAGCTGCTAAAACGAAATAAAACTGTTACTGCATATGTCTACCGACGTCAATTGAACCAATTGAACGATGTATTGTTGCAAAAGCCGCCAGCAATCGTGGTTAACAGACGCAAAATCGTTCTTCTTTATAATAACGCTCGGCCTCACTTTGCAAGAGTTGTCAAGAATACACCATTGCAGCTCAAATAGAATATTCTGTCGCACCCAACGTATTCACCAGGCATAGCGCCTTCTGATTACACTTGTTCCGTGCTGAACAAGTACAAAAATGTGCCGATGACTGGATCGCTGCTAAACGAACTATATCGTCGTAAAAGGTGTACAATATACATCAACTAAGTGAATCCGAAATCAGAAAATAAAGAAATTTCCGAAGTAATTGAAATTACTCGCATAGATTCAAAAACATCATTTGAACCTCCAAGTAGTTAGAAATCAGACGAAAGTGTGAACGGTATAAGAACGGAGTGTGGAGAAGTTAAAAGGAATAAAACACGGACAGTTATCAAAAATCTTGAAGAAAAATAATTACTAAAATGTAAATGGGTATTAAAAACTAAATACAACCCAGACGAAAGTATGAAAAAGCGAAACGTTACACTAGTAGCCGAGCATTTTACGTAAACAGTAGGAATTGATTATATCGGAACTTCTGCACCAGTAGAGAGAATGTCATCAATTCGCCTATTAATTGGACTTGATTGAATCGTTCATCAGTGCTTATCTAAATGGCATAGAAGAAGAAATTTACGTGGAAGTGTCAGAAAAGCTGGAAGAAATATTAGAAGAGAATGAAGCAAACAAATACGAAACAGCCCGGAAGGCAGAGGTATAAATGGCTGCATGACCACCTAAGGGAAATAGGCTTGACAATAGGCTTGACAATAGGCTTAAATCCCCCCTATCCATATGAAAAACAATGATAATGGCATAGTAATAGTTGCAATTTATGTGGTCGGTTTAATAAGAGCGTCCAATAACGGGAAGAATTTAGCGCAGTTCGACAAGAAGCGTAAAAAGGATTCAATAATATCCATCCTTGGCTCAAAACACGTCAGTGCACTAAATTTCATCAAAATGTCTCAAAAATTGCAATATGTTTCTTAAACGAAAATTTTTATGGGCAGACATTAGACGGACAGATAGACTCAGAATAACTTTCTGTATCGACCGGTATAATAAAAAACGCGTCTATGTAAAGCCCTTCTGCGTGTTACCCTGTGCTACAAGTTCTGTAGAATATTCCAAGTAAAAAGGTTATATTCGGCTGTGGCCAAATCTTGCATGCCCACCAGCATCGAAATCCTTGGCGACCTACTTTTGGCGCTTTTATTTATTGCGATAAAAAAGTGAACGGGATAAAATTTATCATTCACTTTTTACTTCGCCAAAAGGTATTCTTAAGAAAACGTTATCTATCACGTTGTGACATAACCAAGTTTGTGCCTTAAACTGTCTAAGTCCTTTTATTTGATACCCGTATAGACGGTATATTTAAGAATAAATTTATCCACCAAGTCGGTGGGTCCATCATACTTATTTTAGGGAAAGTTTTGAGATCAGTGAAGTCCAAGTGAAATTGATAACAAATTTTTGGAAGACAATGCAGTTGCAAATAATTTCCAACAAAGTGATACTAATACTAATAGCAGTGATAGCGACGTAATAGTTGAATTAATTAAATAAATGAATTAATAATAACATTACCATGTGTTTTAAGAAGATGGAAGTCCACATTTCCGATGCTCTAAAGCAAAAATAGAGTTGCTACATTCTTAAGCAAAGAAACAGTCGGAGTTCATGAACATGACTTGACATATTAAAAATTAATTAGAACGCATAAATTTTTGCTCCGCCGCCTATATACGTATCCGACTCATATGGAAAAGTTCTTACAAGAAATATTTTCTAGTTGATTTTAGTGAAATGGGACAATCTTCGAAATGCACTACTACATAAAACTTATAACAAAAAATTATCTGTTCGTGCCAATTTACACCGAACGTTTCTAAAAATTAATTTATAATAACGCTATATGGGAGAAATAACACCATCTGTTCAATTCGAATAAAGAAACCTTTCGGAGTTTTATAAAATGCAATTTTCTTATAGTATTATCAGTAAGACACAAGGGATGAAGTGAAATAAATTTTAAATTTTTTCTGTGTACGCCTTTCTTTAATATCCAATGCTAAGACGTAACAAATGCTTTTAAATTAATATTATTTCCCTATTATTCCCTTGAAGGGTAATTAATTCAACTGCATTTATTTCTTAGACGATTCATGCTGTTTAGGAATAAAGGCAAAGTAGCAGTCGAACTTCATTTAAAAGATTATTTCTTCTTGAAAGGATTTATAACAAACTGCTAACGGACCCATACATACTCCACTCATTTTACGTATCTATCAGCAATAGCAAGATTTCCCGTTTGAGTGAAAATTCTTCTAATTAGAAAATGTAAATTTTCGAAAAATTAAAAATAAAACCTTAAATTATTTGCTGGTACAGAAAGGAAAATTTTTTAGAGATCTAGACAACATCGAGGCTTTGTCACGACATAAACTGTAAGTGAAAGTGTTATCCTTCTGCTCAAAATTATACTAATTTATTGATAGAAAAATATATTTCGAAGTAAAGATTTGTAAATTTGATTGAAAGTTTTTTCCACTATTATAGTGACAATAGTGACAATAAAATATATTCACTTTGTCGTCACTTAGATTCTTCACACGCATATTTCAAATTAAATCAAGGTCGCAACACTAATTCCTTAATTTGTTCTTGCAATTCTATAGCGTGCGTACATAGTGACAGTTTTGAATAAAAAAATTTTTAATTGTGAAGAGAAATTGTCGAAACTACATCATAATTTTAAACTATTCAAATATTTTCGTGTATATCGCACACACAAATAGCCGCGTTCTAACGCTAATTCCATACATATATTTTTACGCTATTGTATCTTTTTTGTGGTTTCTATAAATCACATTGTGCTAGACGGTATTTTATATGAAAACCAACTTTTACCAATCTTCCATAACATCTGTGTGCAAGTTAATGGCTACGTGTTTTTATGGTTTTTTTTTAAAACCTTGGATTTCTTTCATGTATTAAGCTTTGCCACCATCAATAAGTGCTCATTCTCGCTTACGTCACTCTTCTCTTGTGTATATATGAAATTTAGACGATTATTTTTATGTAAAAAACTAAACACGTAATTTACCCCAAGCATAAATTAATTTTATTGATTTCATTTTTGTAGCTCAATAAGATGTTTTATAGTCACATTCTGGATCTCTTCTATGACACATTGAATATTTTTGGTTTGCGAATGTTACATTTATTTGTGTTTCTTTGTCATTCGTAATCAGAAGTTGTACTAAATTTGTTACATCTTTTCCTAAATAATTTAATATTTTTTCTTGGGAAAACAGTTGATCATGGAATTGCACGACAAATTAACGAACCTGGGCACGACGAAATTGTTCTTTACAAATTGATAATAATCCTGGGCAAAATTGTTTTTTATAAATTGATAATAAACCTGGGCACGTAATGATATAAGCAAAAACAGGGATGTCGGGAGTACAGAAGAACTGCCAGCTTATATTAAACATCGTTCACAAAAATAGGAATTGAAAAATACTTTGGCAGCGAATCAGAGTTTCCGTTAAAAATTAGAAAGTAATAAATTATTTTATAATAAAATAACATTTTTGAAGAGTTAAATTACGTTTTGGAATTTTTAATTAATTTTGCGTAGTTGGGTTATGGACGATATCTGAAAGTTTGCTTTAATTATTGCGCAGCCCATTGGGATGTAATTTCTGTTGGAATTTTTCAGTGAACAGATTTGCGGACATAATCTCTACATTCAATTTTATGATTTCGTTATGAGTCGTTGTGATTTTAAGTGTGAAAAAGAAAAAGATTAAAATCTAAATTATACCTACGCTTATAGATTTTGAGTATATTCCTTTAATAATAGATTTGGGAAGCAAAGACTCTACTTTTCATCACCCGCTGAACATCTTATCCAACCAAGCGATTTGATTGGTTACATACAACAAACACCTTTCGTTTTCAAAAACAATATTTATTTCATTAATAACTAAATTAACTTATGCAAACCTCAATAACTTAATTGACTAAGAAATTTCACAAAGATATTTGTTGAAAAATCTTCAAGCACGGTTTTAATCTCTGGTTTTAATACTACCGGCCTCGGATAATTCAGATTCTTCCGCATCTTCTGTAGACCAAAAGAAAAAATAGTAATAGTAATGATAATGAGGTGAGGTGAATATGTAACAAATATTATTGAATCCACCTACGCTTGTTGCCTGGTACTCTACGAAGCCGTTCTTGTTCTACGGCTGCAAAATACTCCGCTTCAACTTGTTCCATTATACCTTTAAACGCATCTAAATTAAATTTACCATCAACCATTGTTACATCATTCTGATCTGCCGCCTGGTTAACTTTGACTTTTAATTTAATTTCACGGGATTTTGCCTCTAGAATCTTTTCACGTCGGTTTTCTCGTTCAAACATCTAGAGAGCGGCGGATTTAGTTGAAATTAGCCTATCAATATGCCTGCGAATAAGTCTTACCGCGGTTAACAATGGCTTATCGTTTTTATTAGACGTCACCATATTTTCTGAGACTTCAATGAGAAATGTGGTCCCAAGTTTACTGCCGCATGTAACGAATTTACCACTTTCGCTCGTACGTAAACAATACAATGGTTCGTCACAAACTTTGACGGTTAAAACGGGTTCATTCTGTTGTTGCAATAAATCCCAAGTATCCAGTACACCGTCCATTCGTGTTATGAAAAATTGAGAAACTCTACCAAAAGGTTATAAGCAAAATTTGTTTGAACCAAATGCTCTTACTTGGTGTAACTCCAGGCCGCGTCGGTTAACATGGCCGGACTATTATTCGTCCAAATAATGGAACTTTCCCGACAATCTTCCGACCATATGCGAGCACACCAGTCTCCAACGGTTAGAAAGTTTTTCACAAAAGCTGGATTCCGCATTATTGCATAAATAGGACCCAAATGGCACATCATCTAATTTATAGAAAGAAAAGAAGTAGAAATGCTTTGTAGTTTTTTTGCATTATAGTTATATTTCATAAATTCATTAAGCTTACCCTTATTTGGATTTTTTCCACCGGTGTTTTACCTTTTCGATTGCAGCAGAATAACATGCCCATCTCAGTACCGACCATGAATCTAGTCGGTATAGTCGTTTCATATTCCAACACTGAAACCCCAAAAGAGCGTCCCAAATCTTGCTCATCCGAACGCACCGGATCCATTAATAATCTATCTAACGGTTCATTGAGTTTACGGGTATCCCACCAAAGCACCTGGCCATCTGAAGCTCCCGAGAAAAACTCCGAACCACTTTTTGAATTGTTCCATAGTACCGAATTGACAGGATCACGATGACAAATCTCCCGTTCACTAATCATTACAGGAAACCTCCCATGCCTAGTATCCCAGGCTGCTACCTGGCCATTGTACATACCGCTTACCAAACTAGTGGGATCTTTTTGATTATATTCCAAACAAACGCAAGGCACTTTCGGTTCGAGAGTTATGTACGGCTCATTGGGATTTTCAATTTCCCATATATATGAATTGCATTTCTGTCCCGTTTTGTCACCCTGAAATTTCATGTCACAATGGCTTATGGCCATTCTTAATCCACCATCTGGTGACCAACTCAAATGAGTGACCGGTACTTTTATTGGGTTGGGGTCGCGGTAAACGTTAATAGTGCGCGAATGACACGGTTCCGGTAAGGGCGCTGGTTCTGAATTTTCAAAATAGTTCTCATATATATTAACAGCATTGTTTTGCAAAATATATTGTTCCATGGGTTTAGTTAAATTCATAACTTCATTTATGTAATTCTCATCTTTTTCAATTTTGCGTTTATAACGCACTGTCTGTTCCGGATCATGCATGTTAATATCTTTGGGCCAACCGCCCTCGTTGTGTGTAATACCAATATGCTTATAAGTCGCTCTTTCAGTGTTAGCTTGACTTAAGGACCACCGGGTACCATACTGAGTACCATCATCTACAGGATTTCTCAATACATAATTTTTCGATAGCTCACGATTTGAATTTTCATTGAATAAAACCTCATCCTTGCTTTCGAAAGCAGTTGGGCGACCAAAATAACGTCGTTCCTTTTTATAAGTCACTTCCATAGCACGCAAGTAGAGAGAAAGGAACTATAAATACTGTATCAATTTAATTTATACGTTAAATCGATAACCATTAGCAACGACCAATGCTATGAAGTACATTTCAACAAGCAAGTTTCTTAATTCTGGCAATATTGTTTAATTGCCGTTTTCATGCGAAAGTGTTTTAATTTCTTCCCGCAAAATGTCTGAATTATCTAATCAAACTCAATCTAAAGTAGAATTACTTCCTAAAAAGCTCTCCGAACTTCATCCGGACATCAGCAACGCTTTGGTCGTAGCCTTAGTTCTTAATAAAACCGAGCCAAATATCTTCCCGGCTAAAAATGACACACAATACCGTGGTGTTATGAACTTTACTATTTGCGACAGCCAACAACACATTATTAACTGCAAAGTTTGGGATCGGCAGGAAAAAATCTTACATTATTATGAAAATGTTAAACTAGGTGATATTGTGGATGTAATATGTCCAAAGATTACTCTATATCAAGAAAAAAATGATGTCAAGCAAGCATCGTATCAACCGATAGCGACCTTGCCTATTACTTTAATATTAACTGAAAGTGAAGGATTTCTCGAAAAACATAGCTACCATGATATAAATAGATACTCTAAAATGCGACAATTATGGCGTCTTCCCCATAAGCCATTACATGGTGTATTAAATCTGGCTGATATAAACACCAGTAATAACAATATAAAGACCCAATCTTATTTTTTCGATTTCTTAGTAATAGTAGGTTCGTTGAAGCCATTACGTGAATTTAAAACGCCACGGGACAATAAGCTTAAACGTTGCCTGGAGATAGTAGTATTTGATAAAAGTTCTCCGGGCGGTATGTTATTGACCATTTGGCAACAAGACTGGATAGAAAGAGCTTTAGAGTTTTGGAAACCTTTGAACACAATTTTACACTTAATCGATTTCAAAGTTTCTTATTCCGACTTTTATAAAAGTTGCACATTGAGCTTAGCAAGTCGTAGTTTAATTTATGAAAATCCCTATGGACAAGAAACTCAAGCGTTGACACAATTTGTGAGCACAATATCAAAAACGGACTTTGAGACGTTTAATCAAATAAAAGTTGAGACTTTGCCCAAACGTAAGTAGATTTTAGCACATAATTAATTACTTGGCTTATTTATGCTATTTTGTACATTACATCCGTGCGTCTATAAGCTGAAGACGTTTGTACCATAATGACCGTAAGGCAAATATATGATCGAATTCAAGGATCTTTACTTGATGATAAGCAACAGTTTACCGCCGTGCTTTACGCCATGATAACTAAATTTAATTTGGATCTTCCGAACTTTGTAATAAGCAAAAGATGGTAAAGTTAGCTTGTCAACAGTTTCGCTCAAAGCATAAAAATGAAACTTTTTCCTGTAGCAAAGCGTGTCGCCGCTTTATGCCAAAGGAAAAAACCGCGTGCGACTCAGAGAAGTGTCTTCTAGGATTTTCCTTTGATTATTCTGGGGATAACTATGAAACATTTTTTAATATCAATCTGCGTTTGAGCGATCACACCGGGACTTTAATAGAGGCTGCCTTAAGTGATACCATCGCTTCTCAACTTCTGGGGCTCAACACTTCTGAATTTCTGCAACTAAAGGATGATCAATTGGACAAACTGAAATGGTCATTTCTTATGGATTATTTTGAAGTTAAAGTTGTTATAAGAAAACCAAGTATCTTTCGAAAAAAGTTGATGATTCTTGTGTTAGGTATGAGAACTATTGAGTTAGATGAGTTATCAAAAATTATTACGGTATATTGAAAAAAAAAAAAAAAAAATAAAGCGTCATTAATAATATACAAAAGAAAACGGATAAACTATTTCTATTTTCAGTTAGGATTTCATTTGCCATTCTACGATTTGGGTTCTGTCTCAGAAGGGTCGAAGTCTGCTTCGAAATCAGTCCGCTCCATGACATATTCACGTTCCTGACGTTTTTTATCGACTTTATACACTTGATCTTGGAATGTGTTGAGTACTTCTTTGAATTCAGTATCTCTTGTTATAATTCGTAGAAATTCCTCCGGATCATCGGGATTCATAATATCCTCCTCTCTTTTAGCGAAAGCTGATTTTTTTCCGTCAACTGCTTCGGTTTTTCGCCTCAGTTTTATTTCTTCCACACGTCCGTCCAGCAGCTTACAGCGCAATTGCTCACGTTCGAACATCTGTAAGAAAACAAAGTGTAAAGTCTAACTAAAGGTTATTATTATTATTGTAAATATTACTGCTGCAATTAAAGCTTTGTCTTTGCTAGTACTGTGTTTTAAAGCAGGATCCATTTCCAAAATTTGTATGTCACCATTGCTTAGAGCCACCGCCAAGTATTCGCCATCTGGACGAAATTTGGCACAAAGGATGGCGTGCGAAAATTTGAAGGTGAAAATGGGTTTGCGCTGGTGCAGCAAAAGATCCCAAAAATCCAATTCGCCCTTGGCATCACCTGTTACAAAGAGTGAGCAGCGCATAGTACTCCACGTTCCGCAAAATATTTCATGTTTCTTTTTTATAAGTAAAGTAGTGGGCGAGCCTTTACATTCCTCGGCCCAAACTTTAGCACACCAATCACCCGTTATTAGAAAATTCTTCACAAAGAAAGGGTTACGCTCGATTGTGCGTATGGGACCACTAAATATTCGATAATTGCCCGCAGCTAGGGTTTCCGAAGGCGTCATACCCTTACGGTTGCCCACAAATATACTGCCCATGTCACTGCCAATGATAAAGCGTACTGGAATTGTGTACTCAAATTCCAACACGGTCACACCGTGGGATCTAGATCGCGACTGGGAATCGGTTAAAACAGGATCTAGCAATATCTCCTGTATAGGGGTTTCCATATCGCGACCATCCCAATATTTTACAGAGCCATCTAAAGAACCCGTATAAAACTCGGTGTTAGTCTTGGAATGAACCCAACATACAGCCGACGTTGCCTCGCGATGAGCTGCCTCCAGCGGACAAGCACAAACACGAGCTCCTCCAGTACGCGCATCCCATAGGCAAACTTTGCCTGAATGTAATCCTCCAGCTATCCAGTTTTCATCTTTAGGGCAGTAGAACGTCTTACGTACAATTTCGGTGCTCGTAAAGTCCACCATAGGTTTTAAAGGATTTTCCAAATCCCATATGTAAAAATTATTGCCTTCTGTAGATTCCAAACGACCTTCAAATTTTACAGTCCTAGCTTTGGGAGTTTTAAGGCGTTCAATTGCTTCTAATCTGTTCAAAGGTATGTTGGTATGCAGGACCAAAAACCGCTTCACGTCGTTTGGGGCCCAATCGATCACTGAAATCGGACGATGTGGTGTGTAAGGATCATGGAAAATATTTTTTTGTCTAGACTCAAAGTCAAACCGGATCTGTTCGCATATTTCAGCCGGTAGGTCTATAAAAAATTCTTGATAGATGTTTACGGCATTGTTTTGCTCTATGACTGCCGTAGTATCAGCGATCATAGTTATCACCTGTTGTCCCCAAGCATCTTCACGTTCAATCTTCTTCCGATATCTCAATGTTGACTCCTCGTCGTTAATATTAACTTCTTTCGGCCAGCCGCCCTCATAATGATACATGCCGTGCTCTGCATATGTAACATTTTCAGTTTCTATCATGCTGAACGCTTTCTGATCGCTTAGTTGTGTGCCTGTGTTGACGGGATTACGTAATATGTAATTACGACGCAGTTTCATATTGGGATTAATGCTAAACATTAGTTGCGTGCGATCGCTGAATAAACATTGCCGTCCAAATCGACGCCTTTCGCGCGAATAAATGAACTGATTGTAATGCATAATGATCGAGCGGATGTACGAGAAATGGAAATAGTTGAATAAATGAAAAAACAAATATTTTTCTTTGTAAACGAAAATATTTGAAAAGCTACAAATCAGATAAAATAAAAATTGAATGAACTTTTCTAGTATTGCTTGCCAACAAACGTGACAAACGTAGCACCATGGTAAAGTCGTTTGGGACTAGCAACGTAATATAAAAATTTATATATGGACTGAACTTAATTGGTCGACCACCACAGACCTTTCTATAGAAAACATTTACTTTATGCCATCGCCATTGCTCCTCTCTATTGAAGTGTTTTATGAGATATAAGAGATTTTCGAGTATGTTAGATAATTACAATGCTGATTTTATTTTTCTGAAATCGCTTCTCATATGAAAATGATATAATATATAAAGAACATACATTTTCAAAAGTTATCTTTGAATCGGAACAATTTTTGCAGCGAATCAAAAAAATTTTGCACGAAATTTGAATAACAACTTAAAGAACGCGGAGGTTAAGTTCGTATGTCCTGCAACAGCTTTGTTTATAAGTGGCGTAAGTAACGTCAAAAACATTATATATATAAGATGGAGCATTTCGCTAGTAACATTTGCGTAGCAACATTTTTAGATACTAAATGATATCAAAGATCGCTAGAGAGAGAGAGAGAGAGAGAGAGAGAGAGAGTAAAATAATAAACTGAAATTAGAGCAATTACTGAAATTTGTACGACGAGTATGCGTAAGACTAGACTATGAATATGTGCATGCTATATGCTACGACGTTTTGAATAGACCTGTGTGTGAGTATATTCGCACTATGGTAGAAATATTCGTGAGCGGTTATGGATGCATTTGCTTGAGCAGTTATATGTAGGCGTATAAGGCGTATTCAACTATCAACTTTTAATTTTTCTGTGCTTGGCCGGTTTTCTTTTTTTTCATGCCAACATTTTTTTTATAAGTAAATTTGCCGTTTTTTGAATGATTATCACTATTTTTCTACATATCTGTCTATTTATTGTCAAAAAATTTTCGTTATAATTATTCTTCCTCATTTCTATTATGCATATATTTTCTATCAATGTAATTAAAAGAAAAAAATTATACCGGTATTGGAGATTTGGAGGCTGATGAGACCGATGTACGTGCCTTTTCTGAGCTAACTGGTTCGGGAGAGGGGCATTGGTTGTAAATCCTGTCTTTCGGACATTTCTCAGACTATTACTCGTTAAAAAATTGCACATACACACCCTCTCACGAACATAGGAATGGACAAAGCATAACTTACCGAACGGGCATACACTAAGCACTTTCACTATCCGGCCTAACTAATGGTCTCCTTTAGCCTATAATGTCTATGGGAGACCCTGGAGCTGGGTCTAAAGACTCTTTTAAGCCTACCTTTCTCTTATGAGACAAAATTTAGGTAAAAGACCTTTTTTCATATTTCTATTTCATTTCATCTGTCGATTAATCATGTGTTCACTTTCTGGTTTAATAAGACCAGGCAAGAGAGAACATCGCTGTTGTTTGCTTCTTAAAATATAACACCTTTCGGATAAAATTGGATGAAAGTTTCAGATTATTTTTCGTTGCAAGCAAAAATTCTAAGCTTGCTTTTGTTAAAAATACTGATAACTTTTCCTATTGATAATTTATCAAGTTTTCTCGTTTCTGTCTTATTTTACAAATTAATTACTACGTGCTTTTTCTTTAGATAATATTTCAGGCGTCTTAATTTTTCCGTTATTCACGCATACCATCATTATGTAGTTAACAAAATGGGCGCTTCTTCAAAAAAATATTTGCTAAATGTTTTTGATTTTTCTAAAATTTATTTTTAACAAAAACTTAACGCAAAACATGTATTAAATGCTCTTAAGTAATGCAACCATTTTATTTTAAATCACGAGCAATATTTCTTAAGTTCAAAATACCTGAAATACATAATCTATGGTCTAGTTGAATGAGTTTACAATGCACTCTAATAAAGACGTTATATATTTACACTATTTCCTAAAACATTTAAATCTATTCACTAAGGTGCAACAACACTGCCGATAGCCTGTGTTGCTAGTGCTCAATGTCTCTTTTTTTAGTCTAAGAATTCAATTCATTAGTCTAAAATTAAAATAATAATAATAATAATAAATCACGAGCTTTTATTGTTTTTAGGCACATTAAAAATGTCCGCCATATTCCTTTTCTTTTTCGTTCATTTCACCTCTATAATAACTTTTTCAAGAATCAAAATTTTCTTTTCTTTCGGCTTGTTATTTTAAATTTTTCTTTTTTCTTTCTCTTAGTAATATTTAAACTTTACTTATTTCTTACTTATTTAACACAAAATTTCCATTTTAAGAATATTGTTCTTAATTCATTGTAAATTTTCGTAACTTTTCCTCTTCATGCTAGAAATTCGAATCCCTTTCTGCTTTTTCTTTCGTCCTATTTCTCCAGAGAAAACTCGCTTCTTTTGGTCGTTCGTGAAATAAACAGTCCCTCCCACGCAGAAATGTATTTCTAATAAATCATTTTATGCAACCACTTGTTACAGCTTCTGTGCGTTATAACGGTGTTAAAAAAAATTAAATTTTGATACACTTGATAATGTTGAGTAAGCGGTTTTTTCATAAGTAAGGATCAAAAAACCATTTTTTCATTCTCCTTGAAAAATAGATGTGTTCTCAGTTTACATGTTACTATAGGCGTGCCCTGCCACCGATTTGGCCTATTTTTACCACCAAACTATGTGGAAGAACTTCGTATGTTGCTGCCGAATTTGAAGTCGACAGATACAATGTTTACAACACACATTAGATAGACGGACAGACGGATATGCTTATATCGATTAAAATTGGTGCTGGTCAAGAATATACAAAATTTTTTTTCAAACATCCTTGTGGGCGTTGCAAACGGTTTGACAAAATGAATACACCCCTCGTCCTTCAGTGATGGGTGTAAAAAAACTATGTACAATTTTTGATATAATAAACTGAAGTGAAATATTATTGTGGGAGCGGTAGGACGGTTAAAGCAAAGAAGTTGCACCTAATTTCCTCTTTAGCAGACGAACGAAACACTGACACTGTTGCTCCCTCTTCGGCTCCAAGAATTTGTATTGGGGAGACCGCGAAGTTTAAGTTCGAAGACAGCTTAAAGCCTACTTTTCTCTCATGATTAAACAGAATTGACCACATTTTTTTTTAATATTTCACTCATTCGCCTTAATTACTTTATTAATTAGAGATGTTTGTTTATTTTTGTTTTCTTTTTTTTTACTTTATAATAACAAAAGAAGTAGTAATCATCATGCGTTTTTATTCTGTGCAAAAAATATATTAATTTTTGTAGTGTATTTCTTAGCCTTTTTGCTTTATTCGTATTTAATTTTAAAAATTCTTTAAAAGAATAAAGTGTGAATTTAACGTATATGAATTTATTAATCATTTATGTGAAAAAATCATTTTGGTTTAGTGTAATCAACAATTGAGCTCTTAGTAAAAGTCTCTCTTTTTGCCTGTTAATCTTCGTTTGCAGTTTTTTTAGCTTTCGCTCTATGTTTACAGTGGGCAGGGAAGTGAGAAATTTGCTTTAATTTGCTGAAAATTTGTGCCGTGGAGTTTTTTAGTTTTTCTTCTTTTCCTTCATAAGCTACTTTTGTGGTTTTCAATGGACATGGATTACTTATTTACATCATGTCGTGTGAAAACAGGCCCTGAATCTGAACGATTCATTTCTTGTTGGCTGTGTGATCGGTTTGGACATGCAAAGTGTGCCGTGCTGCTGAATGCAGTCCTTGGCCCTTCTAAAGGTTTACGATGGTCATGTCCTGATTGCAGAAAGCGGAACATTGATTTCTACAAATTTTTCACGGAGACGAGAAATTGTTTCTCAGATTTGAGCAAAAATCTCCGCTCCTTGTGGGAGAAATTTGAAATAATCAAGACTAGGTTTGATGAGTCTCGTTATATTGCGCAGTCATCTTCCTTTCCGACTAATAAAGTTTCAACTCGTAGGGTAGGGTGTGGTTCGTCACCTCTGAGTTCTTCTACGTCTGTTTCGTAGGTGCAGGTTAGCGATTCCTTAAAGTCTACAAAGAATGTTAGCGTTTCTACTGCTGAGTCGGTCGATAACATAAAAGTTAAAAAAAAGTCGCAAAATTCTTCTGGCTTGAGCTATGCTGAAGTGGCAAGGGTATCTCCTCCCATTGATGTCACTCAATCTTCTCAGGCGTCATCGCCTAAAACTAATAATGATAGTGGTAAATCGTCCTCTCCTCCCGGCTGTTCGAGTGTGAACGCCGGTCGCCAAACCGGGCACAAGCTGCTCGTGCAAGTATGGTTACACCTTCTATATTTTCTCAAACTCATAACTCCCCATCCGTGAACCCTGCTGCTCCTAGTACAGATAACATATGCTTGAAGGCAGTTACTCCCAGAAAGGCAATATTTGTGTCAAGACTGGCACCAGATACATCTGTTGATAACATAAAAAGTTATCTGGCAGCGAAAGCCTCTTCTGCCAATTTAAAGCGCATTAGTACTTTCAAATTGGCCCCTTCTCAATCTAGAGCTATCTCATCTTTTAAAATTCTAGTTCCGTCTGAAAATATGGATTTGATGTTAAATAAACCATTTACTTAAGGAATTTATGCCTCGAGATCGACCCCGTAATGCTAATGCAGTAGCTCTTTCCCCTTCAAGAAACTAAATTTTTCTTCAAGCTCATTTTCTCTAATTTATCAAAATGTTAGGGGCCTAAATTCAAAAATTCGTTCTACCTTCCTAAATTCAGTGAGCACGAAGTTTTGCTGTTTCGTCTGCACTGAATTTTGGTTAAAGCTGGATCTACATTCGTCGGAACTTTTCCATAATTCGTTTCAAGTCTTCAGAAACGATCGATTATATCGCAATGGTGGTAGTGCTTTAATTGCTATTTCTTCGGCAGTCCACCCCTATTCATTTGAATTTCCAACTACTTCCGACCTGCTCCTATATTCCCTAAA